ACATACACACATACACACATACACACATACACACATACACACATACATACATACATACATACATACATACATACATACATACATACATACATACATACATACATACATACATACATACATACATACATACATACATACATACATACATACATACATATAGAGAGAGAGAGAGAGAGAGAGAGAGAGATATGGAGATAAATATAGATAGATATAGATATATAGATATATATAGATATAGATATATATAGATATATAGATATATATATATATAGATATATATAGATAGATATAGATAGATATATATATATATATATATATATATATATATATATATATATATATATATATATATATATATAGATATATATAGATATAGATATATATAGATATATATAGATATATATAGATATATATAGATATATATAGATATACCAAATATGTATCTACAATCCTGGAAAAAATATATGGAGACTATTTGTTAATTTCACAAAAATACATTATAAAGTGTTAAAATCGTACATTTCCGCCTAAATAACTTAGTGCATGATTTTGAATGCTAAATCCCCCCTTCCCTTGAAGTCACTTTCCAACATACACCGCATAAATAGCAACATTGTGTAGGCCCCCCTACACAATGTTGCTATTTATGCGGTGTATGTTGGAAGGGGGAAACGTTGAGAAATTGAAAAAGTCTAATAATTTATTTCCAGGATTGTAGAATCATATATGAGTAGAGTGCTCGATATACCGAGGTATAGAGCTAATATAGATAAAGATAAAATAAACCTGGTTTACTTCATAAGATTTATTCACTACAAACTTGTTTCGTATGACAAGCAATGCTTGCCACACTCATCAGGTGAATTTAAAATTAAAATTAATAATAATTAATTATAAATAATAATTAATAATATTAATATAATAATAATAATAATTATAATATTAATATAATATTAATATATTAATATTTTATAATTAATTATTTAATTTAATTTTAAATTCACCTGATGAGTGTGCAAGCATTGCTTGTCATACGAAACAAGTTTGTAGTGAATAAATCTTATGAAGTAAACCAGGTTTATTTTATCTTTATCTATATAGATATATAGATATATATGTTCGTATAAATTTTGAAATGCTTTATCCCGCGAACTTCTGCAGAAATCCTGAATTTTGTTACCAGTATAAACGTTAACCTGCAGCATACGGGACTCTCGCTTCATATCGCATTCAATATGTATAACGTATTTACTGAGACGGAGGGAAACAATGTGTTTTGTGGACACGGCATAGACCGCTGTTGTTGCGGTTGAGGGGCCACAAAACACACGTCTCAGTAAATAACACTAAGTGTTTTGTTATACAGTATATTAGTGTCAAAGTATGAATAATTCACCGGTTACTGATTTTATTAGAAAAAAGTTTTAAAATAAAATGAATTTTAAGGCCATTTTAAGGCAATATTATTATTAATTACATAGGTGATTATCGAAAATTATCCACGCTGATTGGTTGCCGTTGAGGTGATTATAACGTATTGATCACCTAAGCGATTTTCGAAATGGCAGCCGAAGCCGTTTTGTGGTCAATTAAATGACGAAGAAATGTGAATTTTTTATTTTTTCCCGAACAATCACCCATGAAATTATACTAAAACAATTATTCACATCAAGCTTGGTGAATAAAAACCTCTGAATGTTTTAAGTAGTACTTCAAGCAATGATAAAACTGGCAATAGATAGCTTAAGATCTACGACTGATAATGAGCTACTAGCGTAGACAACTTATATAAGGTAGGTTATGCAAATGCCCTAATTAGCATTTGCCAAGCTGTCCCTAGAGCCCCTATTCCAATAACAAGTACAACAACTCAGCTTGTTCTTAATATAATTTATTTCATAAATCCAAATAAACATGTTTTTACAAATACGTGTGCATAAATAAACTTAATTCAATGTATGTTGAAAGGAAATTTTACCTAACTTTAACGAAAAAATTATATTACTATAAACCTCGAGGCTTTTGTAAACAAATGAATTTCGCAAAGACAAGTTTTCCTGCGCTGTTATATAATTTTGAACAAAACTGGTAGGAAAAACTGTATTAATATTACAGAATAATTAATGTAGTGTTCGCTATACTTTTTTATAGTGATGAAACTTATTATCTTACATGGAAGCAGATGTCCACTCAAAATGGAATTTTGGGCGTTCTAACCTCCCAAAAACTGTGGACGGCACCTAGCAAGGAACAATATCTGCCAGCATATTTCAAGGAAATATGTGATGAATACCTTTTGTCAGAGGATAAACATAGAGTTTATCCTGTTGAGGTTAGTGGTTCTTATATACATTGGAAGTGAATACCAGTATGGAGCTGGCCTATAGTTAATTAATTGGAATGATTTGTTTAATAAAGCTTTTATCACGGCTTTAATGAACTATTTAAACATCCAAAATGACATTTTAATGTTGTCTGAATTAGTTTGATTCCAGTAACAGAAACGATCTTTTTAATACTGTCAGGCAAAACTTTTGTATACACAATTCAGTTGCTCTTCAATTGGTTTTTTTTTAATAGTGTCTTGGTCTTCAAAGAAATTCCAGACCTGCCACATGGGTGATTGGCTCCGATTTTCACGTTCAACTTCTGGACGGAAAAGCGAAACGTATACTTCAAGTGAATCGCTATACAGTGTAATTGAAAACATCCCATTTGTCAGACAATTGGATTTCGAAGGTGATTCAGTGTATAGTGTATATAATTGCAGGTTAATTGTATGTTAGAGTGGTGGAAATGTCTGAGACAGTGGTCGAGAGATAACCGTTAAAGTAGTTAGTATAAGATTCTTTAGGCTTTTGCATAACGATTAATGGTTAATAGAAAAAGGAATGTAACACTAACTGTGATTATTGTTTAGGCGACCTTGATGGTGGGAAAAGCCTTATCGAATTGATTGAATTGATGGAACATTATATGAAAGATAATTTTTTGGCAACATTGCTTGTTTTGGGTGGACTTGGGATTGGTGTCCATTATGAGCAATTAAATAAAAAATCAGATCGTGGTGTACCGCTCATAATGGTGTACGGACAGCCGGTATCGGGGAAATCAACCGCTACGTCAATTGCAATGTCCATTCTTGGTCATAAAACAAGCATTGGCAGTATGTACAGGGCAGTTTTGCAATGAAAGCAATGTACTTTATTCATATAAGCATGTTATACCTGCATGCATGGATTTAAGAAATTGCGAAGCTTGTCAGTTTATCAGATTTAATTTGTTATTAATGTAATAAGATATCCGTGAATGGTTTTTGGCGGAATAGGTGGAATTAGAATTGGTATTTTTATCTTATATTCAACCAAATGTGTACCACGCTACTAATAGTAATATACATTTCAAACCATGAATTCCTAGTTTGTTTCAAGTATAAATACCTGTGAATGCCATATGATAAATTTTTTATTAACCTCGCTTGCTCGGTATGTACACAGAAATATCGGACCTCGGTCTTCTTGTACAAACATTGCCCTATACGCCACAGGCTCGGTCTGTACCAAAAAGAACAGTCGGTCCGACATTTCTCCATGTACAAACCTCGCATTCGATTAATTATAAGAAATTAATGTGTTTTTGTAATTTCTCTAGAATTAACGTCAGCTGGCGCCTTGAAGTTGACCAAAGGTCAAACCCTTCCGTTTTGGTGGGACGATGCGTCAGATTTCTCTGTTCTAGAAGAATTGGCAGTTTCTTCATACAACAACGTAAGAATAATTTTAATGAATATTTTTCTATATATATGGATCATGAATGTACTTTGATCTCCTCACAGCTCATCATTGATGCCAACATCTGAATGACAAAACTCACAATTTTACCGCTTTTAGGCCAACCCCAGTAATTATTGTATTGTAAACATACCATAAAGTGATAAAGTTCAAAGTATTTAATAATAAAGTATCCAGTGACAGAGCTTTATTTTTTCAATTTTTTTATTTGAAATTTGTAAGTGCGTTAACAGTTCCAACAATGTATATAGCTTCCACGGAATTAATCATTTCAAACCGCAAGCAACACGGCACATGGTCGTACGGATGTTCTGATGATCACTTCTTCTTTTTCATTAATGTCTAATGAATATCTCAATAAAATGTTATATAATAATGAAAGTGTTATATTCCTCCCTGAGCTATATTAGGCAAATAAATTTATCAATATAAAATCCAGATAATATGCCACTACACATAAATGCATGCAGGTTCTCCATTTACAGTAATTTAATTATACTATATGTATATAATACATATAGTACTAAGTTTTGCATGTATATTCACTAGCACATAATCAGTATTATATATACGTTTTGTAGTCCATCAAGCAAACAGCCTACAGCAAACCTGCAACGAGTTCAAGAACCAATGCTCTAATAACAATGAATCCCAACTGTATTCCAAAAAAAATCAGAGGTGATAAGCAAATGATGATAAGGTAAAAATGCATGCATTTTATTATATAAAGAATAGTGCTTTATAGAGATTTCGAGCACTGATGAAAGTGATAATCTCACATGTGTGATTATTCATGATAATCGCACATGTGAAAATTATCGCTTTTCAATTATCGCTTTTCTGTAAAAATTATCGCTTTTCAAAGACTGTCCTTTATATAATAAACAGAAAAATACACGGGTGCTTGGAAATACCAGATTTATTTCTCGTGTTGAACATGATATCTCACTCGTTCGTTGCGCTCACTCGTGAGATATCGATCATGTTCAACACTCAAAATAAATCTGGCATTTCCGCGCACCCATGTATTATTCTTTATATATCTTTTTGGTAAAATCATCTAACAACTCAATAACACATTCCTTTCATAAAATTAGAGTGTTTTCACGGATTGCAGTAATCCCATTCAAGGAAATTAATGAGGAACAGAACCTGGAAACATGTATGTTCCTGGATGAGAAATTAAAAACTATAACAACGCATTTGGCAAAGAGCGTTGGTGTTTTTTTGGAGCTTGCTCCACAGTTTGATGTGATGCACCGGGATCAAATGTTTATACAGATATCGTCACAAGTGAAAAAGAACAAATTGGACGTTCGTGCCCAGTTCAATTATGCCTTGTTGCTCTATTCAACAGGAAAGGTATAGCCACAATATTCAATCAAGGCAACTTGTAGACTTTTAAAGCATGCCAAAACGTTAAATCATTCGCATCCGATCTTTTATGATATAGAAACTATCGCCTTCGGCTTGAGTTTGCATATCTGATAAAGATCGCCGGATCGGCTGCAAATGTGTTAACTATAGAGTATAGTACACATTATCCTAAAAGTACAACGTATTTCAGATCATTTTTTATTGAACCACATAGCTATAAGCACGTAATTATTTTTCTATATTTCTTCTAATTAGATGCTAGAAAAGGTGGGGTTGAAAGACCGTTTTTTCCCCGGACTGCTGGAGTTTTTCTGCAATGTAGTTACGCAGCAGTACAAAAACATTACACTAACTGACACACAGCCTTCAAGTTCAAGAGTAGCTGAAACACCAACATTAACAAACGACATGACGGCAATTTTAATTGCTATAGTCACAAGCGCTACCAAAAATCCAATTGAGGTAAGTTACATGATAGACTCCACTCTCTAGGCTATAGCTCAGACAAGGTTTATGGGGGGGGGATGTTGACTCTGAAACAATTATGACTAATTCAATGTAATGAAAATATCAATTTGATATGCCATACGGCTAGTTTTTCTAATTTTAGCATTGTCTATAATTCCTTAATTATTTAAAACATCGATTACTCATTCAATATACTGCATGGATTATCTTAATATTGACTGTCGGTTACTTTGTATCAATCTCGAACCCTTTAATTAAAACCTATCAAGCAGATTAAACAGTAACGAGAGAGTAAAGTGAATGAAATTTTAACATATTTAGGTGTGTCAATTCTTCGTACCAAAATTTTACGCCAGAGCTTGTGGTTGTGGAGAGGTGTTTGGATTTAAGGTGACTGATGCGTTGGAATACCTAGGCAAAAGCAATAAAGGGTTGGAGAACGCATTAAGAAGTCACATTCGGACATCTTGTCTGGGATGTAACGGAGTGCGCATAAATGTTGGTGAAGGGCAGCCGAAAGGATCACACATACAAAGAAACAAATTGCCCGAAGCTATAATACAAAACTTGGACAAGGGTTAGTTAAACATTCAAAGTAGGTAGATCGAATCGCAGTCTCTATAATTTTCCGTGTCCATATTACATATACGGTATTCCGTTTCCAAATGTATTATTATACCTAACGTTGAACATACCATGAAAACAATGTGTGCAAACGTTCTTTGCTGATCGTTTAAACAAATATTATATAAACATTCCCTCATTCCTTGTTCTCTAATCTCGTGTTAAGAAAATTTTGATAATTTCTACATTAATAAGTCATGTTAATGTATCATGTTATGTTGTTTTCAGTATTTCCCGATGCAAAAAAATTAGCAGAAATAAATCAAAAACAGAAATCTTCAGGTATACATTCTATTTATATTATTTTTGGTACAGTACGCATTTATTGATGCGCTACGCATTTATTGTTCGTATAGTGTAAACAGGCAGACGTCATTACTCAGAGGTATAGAGTATATTATGTAATATAAAACATTTTCCCGGTTGATATTTAATTTAGCAATTATGCGCCGAAGGCGTGGTGATTATGGGGGAATATTCACCGAGATGAAAAAAAAGTCTTGTTGCCACAAGTCGTTTGTGTTTTTTGGGACTGATTTTATTTTAATTTCGCTTATTTCTTTATTAGTAACTTCCACAAAACGCCTAGCCACTGCAGACAAGAAGCTCCCTGAAGTGCTAAATGATCACACTGGTAAATGAATTGCCTTTATATTAATTTACTTCTTATATCTGCAGTTGTAAACGACTTCTTTTAACAATCAGCGGACGCCATATATTGCTATATAAATATATGTTTATACATTTTTAGCCACTGCCACTGGCACTGCAGGCAAGAAGCTCCCTGAAGTGCTAAATGATCACACTGGTAAATGAATTGCCTTTATATTAATTTACTTCTTATATCTGCCGTTGTAAACGACTTCTTTTAACAATCAGCGGACGCTATATATTGCTATATAAATATATGTTTATACATTTTTAGCCACTGTAAACAAGAAGCTCCCTGAAGTGCTAAATGGTCACACTGGCAAATGAATTGCCTTTATTAATTTACTTCTTATAGTTGCAGTTGTAAACGACTTCTTTTAACAATCAGCGTACGATATATTTTTAAAAATATATAGGCTATGTTTATACATTTTTACCCACTGTAGGCAAGAAGCTCCCTAAAGTGCTAAATGATCACACTGGTAAATGAATTGCCTTTATTAATTTATTTCTTATATAGTGGGACCCTAATATATGTTTATAAATCTTTAGACACTGGAGACAAGGATCAACATGAAATGTCAGAGAATGACGATGGTAAATTGCCTTTTTTATAATTAATATTTGTCCCTTTATCTCTATAACTTTATTTACTTCCTATGTTTGGAGCCGTAGACGTCTTCTAACATTCAGGTACCCTAATATATGTTTTTAACTTTTTAGAACCTGAAGACAAGGATCAACATGGAATGTCAGAGGATGACGATGGTAAATTGCCTTTTTTATAATATATTTGTCCCTTTAATCTTTGTATATATTAACCTGATTTACTTCTTATGTTTGGAGCCGTAGACGTCTTATAACATTCAGCGGACACTAATATATGTTTTTAAATTTTTAGAAACTGGAGACAAGGATCAACATAAAATGTCAGAGGATGACGATGGTATAAAAGACCTTTTTTAATCAATTTTATCTAACTTTAAATTACTTCTTATAAGTTCGCAGGTGTAAACGACGTTTCTCCAACTGTATTGGACCATAAACGTAGAAATTAGTATAATTGCTCTTTCATGGGGATTATATAGTTAAGATTGGGATAATAGTCAAGATGACTTCATTCATACAATTACATTTAGTACTAATTTTAAGAGGATGACATTTATATATATTTTTTATATATATCCGCCGTATAGAAAAGGAACCAGAAGATGACGTTGGTAAATGACCTTTACTATATTACATATGTTTTTTTCCTATCTAAAATAAGTATAACTATTAACGCCGATTCATGCACTTAATGGAACTGTCGAGCATGAGCATGCATGCAGGTTGACAATGTATGTTAATTTAAGAAAATGACGTACTTTACGCCGTAGAGAATCGCGTATGATTGACCTCTTCTACATATGGTTTATTTATCTCTTTTATCTAACTTTATTGTATAAAGTATAATGCTTTATAGAGATTTCGAGCACTGATGCATGTGACATTATTTATGATAATTTCACATGTGAAAGTTATCGCTTTTCAATTATCGCTTTTCTGTAAAAATTATCGCTTTTCAAAGACTATCCTTTATATAATAAACAGGAAAATACATGGATGCTTGGAAATACCGGATTTATGTCTCGTGTGGAACATGATATTTCCGCGCACCCATTTATTATTCTCTATTTAATTTACCTCTTACATTGTGGCAGCTCGGTTTAAACGACTTTTTTTCTAACAGTTTCTCTTTTCCTAAATCCTAACATGTGTTTATATAAATTTTTAGCCACTGGAGACAAAAACCAACATGAAATACCAGAGGATGACGATGGTAAATGAAAAATAGTGAAACCTTTTTAATTTTAGTTCGTGCAAAAACGTAGTTTGCGACTTTATGTCGGACTTTATAACGCAGCGGAAAGTATAAAGTACAAGTAATTGGACATGAACATTAATAAATATGAAAAAGGAACGCCGATTACTTTGCAATTGCATGATTGCTTTGCGATACTTCTAGTGCGATAGCAGTGATGGGCTTCATGAAGTATGATACGTCCAATGAAGTGGCATCAGTGGCGTTACCGAGGCCATTACGCTCGGGGGGGTGTATTTCTCTATACTTACCGACTGGAATTCCCCCCTCCCCTAAAACCCTGGAGAGCGGGGAAGGGAAGGGTTTAGAACCATGCAGCGTCAACTGCATCTTACTGAAAAATTTCACGAGTGCAAACAGGTCATTCACTGATTTTGCCTAACATTTTAGTCGGTATGTCCATTTACCGACATTGTATCAATTTACCTACCAATTTCAAACTTTACCGACCATTTTCCAAAAATACTGGTGGGCCGGTGTCACAAACACAACACCCCTCTCCTCGGCACGCCCCTGCGTGGCATTATCCATGATTCATCATCTAATAGAGCATACTATAATAAAAATGCAGATCGACGTATGTATATATTATTATGAATATCATTTTTGTTGCTCTTTTTATCAATATATACAGAAAACAAGGAGCTACTGAAAGTACTAGAAGGCGACGATGGTAAGTTTTAGTTGTATTTTTATTTGTTGTTGTATAAATGCAGCTATAAAAAAAAGCAATTCTTCCTGTATCAATGGGCCAATAAACGTCAATATTGTAAGCATTAAGCATCACACTTTGATGAAAATGATATTTAATTTGTTCTTTTTTAACCACTGTAGACAAAGAGCTTCCTGAAATACTACAACCAGGAAAGGATAAAAACGGTAAATGGCCCTTTCTATCGCGATTCGTCTCATCTAGATTACTATAACTTTAATTAATTTACTTTTTATGTTCAGTTTACGTAAACCCTTTTCTCCAACGAACCGTCATTGGACCCTATTATTACACTTTCATGCACTGAAGATGACATTTAATTATATATTTTCAGCCAGTGGTGACAAGGAAGCTGAAACTCCAGTATCAGAAGATGACGATGGTAAATGGCCTATTATATCACTAATAGAACCAATTAAACAAAACCTAGGAAAATTACGATAATTGCAAGTTATTAAAAGGAAGGACATTCCAAAGCAAAACGCAGCACTTATATAAGCCTATTTCCCATTTCATTTATTTAAAGGAGACACAACGTATCTCCTTCAATGGCAGTTACATGCTTTCATGTCTGCATGGTTTTCACAAGCGATGCAAGCATAATTAGCATTGTATTTATAAAAGGCCATCACGGAACAACTGTGGATCCGCATAGCTATGATACTGTCTATATAGGCTGACAAAAAAGTCATCACATATTTTAACTAATCTAACGTAAAACTCCTCTCAAATATATATTTTAGTGACGTCCCAAACAATGAAAGAGAAAGTGATCAAACGAAAGAAAACCCAAGCATTAGAAGACGGGCTAAAAACATATTTTCAGCCATCGTCCAAAAAACGCTCACGAAAACCGAAAATTTTTTAAAACTTATACAATTACATATTTCAAATTCTGTAAAGATATAATATATATAAATGCTGGACAAATAAATATATTTTTTGCATTATCTTGATATGTCTTATTATATGACAGTATATGTTGTCATGCATACTATTCTGCACGCTATTGACTATTGAGTATTGTACGTGAATTACTCGGATCAAAATGTTATCATATCTAGGAACATCATGCTTTTAGCAATAAAATGACATGTTTTTCAGCCATGCCAAGTGAAGAAAAAGAAGCAAGTACGAGTCCAATAAAAAATCCGGTTTTTCACCTCTGTGCCTAATTAAAGCAGTGCATAACAAGTGCATAAGCCTGTCGATTTATTCCTATAGGCCTACTTGATGATAATTATGAATATGTGCGCAGTTTATTTACGTGAAATTCATCAACTTAAGTCCCAAGGGTTAATTATCGATCATTTTAGACCCAACTCTCGACTGTGAAAACATGCGATTAATACTAACATTTTTTATCCGAATTGTATTTGCTTATTTTTTATCCATTCGGCATGAACAATATATCATTCAACAGCTAAAAGCCTGATCTTTCCGAATATGAAAACAAATCTCGGCCATACGCCTAGTAATTCAGACACAATAGGGTGCTAAAGTTTGATTACCTTTTTTATTATATAAAATAATAAAAGTATAGTGTTTTAAACCTGTTTTCCACTACAGGCAAATTTGTTCGCGCGAACAGTAAAAAAAACAGAACTGATCCAACTTTTCGCGAATTTTTTCGCTGACCAATCACATTGCGAAGATTTGTTTTTCGCTTCGCGTTGCGCGAATAAAATCGCCTAGTCGAGAACGGGCTTTCTGCAGATTTAAAGCGCTGATAAAACTTATTCTCTCACATGTCAAAAAATGCAGTGTAATGCAGTGTAATGCAGTCTAATGCAGGGTAATGCAGTCTAATGCAGTCTAATGCAGTCTAATGCAGTCCAATGCAGTCTAATACAGTCTAATGCATGCTAAAGCAGTCTAATGCAGTCTAATGCAGTCCAATGCAGTCTAATGCAGTCCAATGCACCCTAATGCAGTCTAATGCACCCTAATGCAGTCTAATGCACCCTAATACATGCTAAAGCAGTCTAATGCAGTCTAATGCAGTCTAATGTAGTCTAATGCAGTAAAATGCAGTCTAATGCTGCCTGATGCAGTCTAATGCACCCTAATGCATGCTAAAGCAGTCTAATGCATGCCAATGCAGTCTAATGCAGTCTAACGCAGTCTAATGCAGCCTAATGCATGCTAATGCAGTCTAATGCAGTCTAATGCAGTCTAATGCACCCTAATGCAGTCTAATGCAGTCTAATGCATGCTAATGCAGTCTAATGCAGGGTAATGCAGTCTAATGCAGTCCAATGCAGGGTAATGCAGTCTAATGCAGGGTAATGCAGTCTAATGCACCCTAATGCAGTCTAATGCACTCTAATGCAGTCTAATGCAGTCTAATGCAGTCCAATGCACCCTAATGCAGTCTAATGCACCCTAATGCAGTCTAATGCAGTCTAATGCACCCTAATACATGCTAAAGCAGTCTAATGCAGTCTAATGCAGTCTAATGCAGTCTAATGCAGTCTAATGCAGTCTAATGTAGTCTAATGCACCCTAATGCAGTCTAATGCACCCTAAAGCATGCTAAAGCAGTAAAATGCAGTCTAATGCTGCCTGATGCAGTCGAATGCACCCTAATGCATGCTAAAGCAGTCTAATGCAGTCTAATGCATGCTAAAGCAGTCTAATGCAGTCTAATGCACCCTAATGCAGTCTAATGCACCCTAATGCATGCTAAAGCAGTGTAATGCATGCCAATGCAGTCTAATGCAGTCTAATGCACCCTAATGCATGCTAAAGCAGTCTAATGCAGTCTAATGCAGTCTAATGCA